TCCTTGCAAGGTCAATATTTGAAACTGCAAGACTTTGGAAAACCAGGCCCTGTGAAGTACAAAAGCTTTTTAGTATATTCCACATTACCTCATTTGCCATGAGCAAATCCTGTTGGCTCTATCTTCTAAACATAACCACAATACGACCATTTCTTATCAACTGCAATCCTAGCATCGTGTGTGAAGAGGGGGTTAGAGTATAATATTCTTTAAACTGGGAAGGAACTTTCAGACTGAGGAATGAAGCTGGCAAACCCATACAAAGATTTTCATTAAAAGAGGAACTCACATATGGGGAAGGTTGCACACAGTTAATCTACAGCAGATGAGAACTCTCTTTCTCTGGCTTTTAAGCAAAGCTTATGTAGCACAACTTCAAAGAAATAGTTTAAGAAAAATAAGTTTCCTGAGACCCATGAAGCAGGGAGCTTGTGATGCTTGTGCACAGACTAGCTGATGCCAGGAGCTGAGATAAGTCACCTAGTCCCTAAACACTATTTTCCTGTTATGCTTGTCCTAAAGTTAATCTATAACTGGTCAGTGAAAGGAATGAGGTTCAACAGGAGTCAACATGGTGGGCAGGGCACAAGATGGCACTAGCCCCATTCACCCTCTAACACAGCCTTACCTAAGCCACCATCATCTCCCCTTGGATTACTGCATTAGCCTCCTGTTTCCCCCACTCCCTCTCTGGCTTCCATTCTTGTGTGCCCCCTGCATCATCTATTCTTAATAATACAGGTGAGTGCTCCTTTTGGAGCTTGTGCTTGAAATCTTTCAGTCCTCCCCCCTCCTATCCCGTTTGTCAGCTAAAACCCATAAAAATGTCCTGCAAGGCCCTTCATCAGGTGCTGGCAAACTATAGCTGGAGGGCAAATCGGCCAGCTGACTGTGTTTGTAAATAAAGTTTTATGGGAACACAAACACACTCATTTGTTACGTATTCTCTGGATCTGCTTTCACACTATGAAAACAGAGTTGCATAGTTATAACCAAGACTGTATGGTGCACAAAGCCTCAAATATTTACTACCTGGCCCTTTACAGAAAAGGTTTGCTGACTCCTACATGATTTGGCCCTCTGCTACCTCTTTCACTTCATTTCTGCTCCAGTCTTCCTGGCCTCCTTGGTGTTCCTAGAGCCTGCTACGCAATCTTCTGCGAAGGGCTTTTACACGTGCTGCTGCCTCTGCCTACAGGTGTATTCTCTCAAACATCCACTCCCTTATCTCCTTTATGTCTGCTCAAATGTCACCTTTTCAGTGAGGCCCTTCCTTAACATTCTTTCTAACAGCAATCCTCCCACCCCTAAGATGTTTCTGGCTTTATTTCTCTTCCGATTCACTACATAATTTACTTTTTGTGTGTGTATTTTCTCTATCTCCCTCCACCAGAGTGTATTCTACATGAAGACAGAAATTCCCCCCACCTCCCCCATCCCTCACTCTGTTCACTGCCATACATCTTCAGCATGTAGAACATCACCTGGAATGAGGGAGGCACTCAATAGTACTTATTGGTGAATTCCCTGTTCATGTCCTTCTCGGTTTGTTCATTTGCTTGTTCATTTATTGATGCATTTGTTCATCACACTTAT